ATTTAGTTGGAGATGTCCCTGCTCACCGCAGGGGGGTTGGACTAGATGACCTCTGAAGGTCCCTTCCAGCCCAAATGATTCTATGATTCTATGATTCTGACTTGTGCTGGCTGACTATGCATGAAGAGTTCAGGTAACAGTTCACCATCTTGTGGATACATGCAAAATACTGCTTTGAATGCTTGAGGAGAGTAATGATTTTGGTAAGTCACAGCACACCTAGAAATACAATGTTGGCTCTTTGGGAAGCAGAGAGCTACATACTGGACTGAGACAGCAGCTACGGAGAGCTCACAGTCATTTCTGACATAGCAGTGTGATCTAGGATGTTTCCTTCTGCTACTGAAACAAAAGCGTATGTCTGTGGAACAAAAATCTTATTCTCCTCTCAAGCAGAATCCAAAGCTTTTCTCCTTTCCTTGTGATTCTATTTCTCCAGTATTGGGCTAAGGATAAAAGTTGACTATCTTGCTAGAGTTAATCCTTTAGAGCAAATCAGCAACCATATCTGGGAATTGTGGGCAGAGTACCAGAGCAATAAGTATTTACTTGAAAATCCTGGATAACTGCTACAGAAGAAATGTGAGTAAAATCATTCTTTAATTCCTGAAGAAACAGATAAAGGGACGTAAGATTTATGCCCAGAATTAAGGAAAGTCATCATGCGTAGCAGCTGCACTAATCAGTTTACTGAATGTATTTGGTTGAAGCTATGGTGTAATCAAGAGGTTGGTTTTATTAGTATGTCATTTTGTATGAACCTGAGAAACAATAAGCAGTCAATAAAGTACTAATGCTTGAATTCCTACACACCTTGTAAAAATGCCTCTAGGTTCTTCTGTCTAACTAACTTCCAACAAATGAATCATTTGTGATTTATCACATGGTTTGTTTCTGAAAAAATTCAGGTCACATAACACAGTGCTTGTTCCTGAGACAATTAGGGCTGTTTCCAACTAATTTAGCTATCTGTGCAGAAGGGAGTAGCATTTACAGTTCACCAACTCAGAAAATCATTACGTTGGTTAAAGGGTTTCTTCCTTGAGGAAGAGATACAAAACCTCCAACATCCACTGCTATTGAAAAGCAGCTGGGACCAAGAAAATGAGATTGTGCCTTTTCTTTTTATTTGCTGGTGGCTCCTCCTTTTCATATCATTCATTTATATCTGGCCTGTTGCTGAACCTGTCTCTTTAACTAGGCTCCAGACATGTGAGAAGTAAAGCTGTGTGTTTGTGGCACAACTCCAGTGCTGAAGGAACAATAAATTGGTGAGAAAGCAGAATTGCTGGATTCACACCAAATTACTCTTTAGTTCTGTAGACCTGTTAAATTTAATTTGCATGTTGCTGGGACATTATCATCTTTAATGATTTTCTGAGAAGTCCGTGTAGCACCAGGTAGACTTTGGGTAACATCAATGCATCTTCAGTTTACAAAGTGATAATTTTTACAAGAATTGCTATAGGCAGCAATTCTTCCACAATTTGCCAGCATCCTTCTTTCTTACCAAGTTTCCATGCATCTGCCACTGAAATGATGTTTTAAACACTGAAAATAACTACAAATGTCCATCTGAATTCACTGAGTACCTTTCTGCTCTCATCAATCCCATAAATCTTTCTTTTAGCTGCTACCGTATGACTTGATCTCACTTCAGAAGTTTCTTTGCTATCATCTGCCTGCAGGAAACATTGTGTGGAGGTTCTGTGAATTGTATCAGACAGGTAAAAGCTGGCGCTTGAATAATTTATGTCAGCAGCACATTTTCAGTAAGCAACTTAGCCACCAGCAGCAGAACAGCATCTTAACAAAGATCTAGGTAATATGGAAGAAGGCTGAAGAAATCATTTTGATTACTCATCAGTGCCACACAAAATGCAGAGATGTTAACACTGATGCCAGTAGCCAACCCATACTAATATCAGTTCCTTATCATATGTATTGCATTTAATGCTACTTTTCCCCATTTCTGTAAAATTATTTCCAAGTAACTGATTGAGATTTCATTGTCAACAGCATAAGTTGCTAGGCTGGCATTTAAATTAAAAGATGAAGAAACACAAAGAGAAAAATTAGACTGCTGGTTGACAGAACAGCTGTTGATCAGTCACAGTGGAATATACTGTCTTGTCAAGAGGGCCTCTCTGATGAAGCATCACGAAAATGTAATTTGATTACCTTTCCCTGACTTCCAAATGCAGTATCATATGTGCAAACAATAACTAAAAATCTACTGACTGCTAGTCCTAAAAAAATGAAGCTTCATACTGTTGGGTCAGAGCTTGCTTACAGCTGAACAGTTTACAGCATATGAAAAATGAATGCAGTGCTGTCAGTGGAGAAGTCTGCAAACATACCTGCAAACTAACACTAAAAACTGTAAGACCTTATCTAGAATTTACTTTATTTTTTTTTTCCAAGGTAAGAAAGATAAAATATTGAGCACTAGCCACTACTTGGCTATGCCTAATAGGATACTGTCTCTCAGTGCAAATGTGGGGTTTGTAATCACTTCTAAAACATATATAAAAGATATTTCTCTTTGATATGCTGTTCAAAGTGAAAACCTTGTTTCCAAAATTAGAAGTTCTAATAGGGAAAAAGAAAAACACTTACAAGGAGGTGAAGATAAAAGACAAGATAGTAGTGTGCTATCTTTGGAATGAATATGATCTGATGTGGTGATAACGGGACATTGATTATATTTCTCATTTTGGAAGAGCTACTGTGCATTCCAACTGTTACAACAACAGCACTAATTATGTATACACTTCCTTTTAACAATATTTTTCAAAGCGCTTTACAAAGGGTGTTAGGATCATTATCCTGACTTGACTGCTAAGAAAATCAACAGACTGCTGTAATAATAACTAACTGAATGTCACCTGGCAGACAAGTGAAAACACAAACGTTCAAGTTTTAGTCCCACACTCTTTTGGCAAGACCACAGTGATGCTTTCAAATGCCACCTTTCAACCAGGTGAGTGTTCACAGAATTTATAAAGCCAATGATTGTGCTTTTCTGTCAAGTTTGGCTTCTAAGTACCTACTAAATATTACAGCAAGGAGCCATTAGTGACTATTAAAAGGCCCTCCTTTAGCAAAGCCATCCAGTTGTTAATGGCTGGCAGGAGTTCAAAATTCGTTTAAAACAGTCTGTCTCTTTTAGATGCCCTTGCAGTCTTGGTCTTTCCCAGCTGTGACATTTATGATAGGAATAAGAAGGAGGCAATGATACTGTTCTGATGCCTGGTGTAGCCATTCCCCTGTGCTTTCACAACACAAGGAAATTCAACATGTAAAACTTCGATACTTCCCCATGTCTGTTACCTCCTTAGCCATTTGGTGACACTACTTCTTTAAAAGAAATAGTTTTGAGAAAGGACAACTCAAGTAAAATTTTCTGTTGAGAGAAGAAAACATTCATCAACTTTATTAGACACGGCATTAGTCGCAAAAAACTTTGGCTTTCTCAGAATTACAACAAACAGCTAGTTATTGAACCTAAAGATCTGTGTGCTAGGTAGGAACTGCAGAAGGCAGTATGTTCTTTGCCCTCTCACCACTTCCACTTGCCTCCTCCACTAAAGGCTGTTGGCTGCTTGTCCCAGAAGGCAGGTGCTCTATTGCTAATCTAACTCAAAGTTATGCCTGCTACAGAAATTTTCAACCAGGCCACAGATGCCAGATTCTGATCTCTTAATTATAATCAGCATAGAGAATCTGCCCCAAAATGTACAGTGCAATGTGTTAAAGTATATCATCCAACATTTAATACATAAATGTATCGTCTGAATGCACACAGTATCTCCACCAAAGAACCACTTCCCATGTCAGATTTCTACTAGCAGGCCACTTATTTCTTTTTTTCTTATTAATAGTTCAATGGTATTTTGCTCAAAAAGTTTCAAGAACACTTAAGAGTATAACTCAGAACAAGTTTTATTTTTGGCGTAGGAGTTACTCTACCTTTGAATTCAACACATGCAATTTGTATTTGTAATTAGAAATTACATTTTGAAACATTGATCAAATTAGACAACACTGCTGTGTGTAAATGATACACACACAAACACACACAGAGTATTTATAGGGTTAGATGTCACACATAATTGCAAAGTATGTTTGGAAGGCCAAACCCTGTTACTTTGTACTGACCTGAAGTCCCACTGAGGTCCTTAATATATGACTGCTACAGCTAAGTTTTCATTATTTCCCCTTCTGGATGATGACAGTAACACTGATGTTCTGTACTACCTGCTATCTCTGCTTTTATCTGAACTTCTGCTGCAAAAATTCATGTTCTACTGGATTGTTTACTACAGCATTACAAAAGATGAGAATCTATTTGTTTTGTTTTGTTTTTTTTTTTCTGCATGTTTGCCTTCAAAGTATCTTTCTATTGCAGCAAATAATAATGCTCACTGACTCTCTGCACCATCCCCTCCATCCTTTATTACAGGAAAAGTAGATTTCATTATTTCTGCTAGTGGCATAAAAATATTGAGGACATTCTGTGATCTCCTACCCAACTACGAGCAGTCACAACAGAAGAGAATCATGATAACCTAGCTTTTCTTTAGCAAAGGAAAGCCATCTATACAAGCATAAAAAATGTTCATTTATTTTGCTTGAGCACTGGTTTCCTGATCACTGTTTTTTTCCCAGCACACTGATTTTTCAATTCCCATTGTACAATACACTCAAAATACAGGAAGGATATGATCAGTGGGCTTGATTTCAAAGATGCGGAACTACCACTGAACTAGATCTGAGTTTAAATGGCTCCAGGGCACTTCATCGCGGATTTACACATCCAACCATTTAAGCACAAAGATATAACTTTGAATGCATAAATCCATCCCACATGTCCTTGCTTGTTAAAAGATTCAGAGGCATGCACAATATTTCTACAGCTGCTTAAAATGCCAGAAACACATTCATTTCAACTAATTTTGTTTTAAAATCAAACAGTTTTGCAGTCATTCATTACTAACCTGGCTGTTAAAGTTGGAGAACTGACAACTGAAGTAAAAATCTCCACCATAGCCATTTTACAAAGATCAGCTGCAGATCCTACAAAAGAAAGTGATCTGCTTTTAATTTAAAGCATGCAAAAGGAAAATGTTCTTCTTGGAACTATGGCATAGGAATGAAGAACATCTGAAGATTCTGAACTATAATAATTTGCAAAACTAGCAGATTCAGTTCATGTAATATGTGAAACAGACCATAAGATTAATAAATAAAAACCTAAATACTTAAATGTTAATTAAAACCAGAAAAAAATAATATGAAATTATGTGTTAATTAAAAGTGAATTTGTCAGTCATGGCCATGAGTTGAAAAACTGATTTTTATAAAAAATGTCTGAAATTATCTAACTCTAAATTGGAATTAAAATTTACCTATAAATCAATTAAAACTTAATGTCACAAAAGGTTAGAACATTGTTTCAGTGCTACATTTCCATTTGGAAACTTAATTTTATGCTTTTTTGTATTTCCATCTGTGTGTAATGTATATTCATTACATTACAGTGTTAAGAGCAGTGATGCAGAAAACAGTGTCATATTACGTAATAGATTATGCATTTCTGGTGATCAAGAGGCAGAATGATTCTCCAGGCCTGCAGTTTCGTGAAGAGGTCTGTTCTGAACCATGCAACAGGGGTTTAATACGTTTTACATAAAGATTTATCAGATAAAATGCAGAAACAATCCTTTAAGTAAGGATTGGAAGCCATAATTCTCCTTGTTCCATCAGATATCCTAACTGTACTAGACCGTAGACATCTTCCTTTTCTTACTCCCTAACTCCATGAATTTTGAATTCTTTCTTCCAAATAGTTCAGCTTCCAGAGTAAGGATAAAGAACAGACAGGTAGGCAAATGGTTAGGGTACTATGCTGGAAGATAAACATAGAATCACAGAATATCTCAAGTTGGAAGGATCATCATGTCCAACTCCCTGCTCCTCGCAGGACTACCTAAAACTAAACCATATGACTAGGAGCATCGTCGAGATGCTCCTTGAACTCTGACAGGCTTGGTGCCATGACCACTTCCCTGGAGAGCCTGTTCCAGTGACCGACCACCCTCTCAGTGAAGAACCTTTTCCTCATGTCCAATCTGAACTTCCCCTGACGCAGCTTCATTCCATTTCCTCGTGTCCTATCGCTGGCCACCAAAGAGGAGATCAGCACCTCCTCCTTGCTGCCCCCCAAGAGGAAGGTGTAGACTGCGATGAGGTCACCCCTCAGCCTTCTCTTCTGCAAGCTGAACAAACCAAGTGGCCTCGGCCGCTCCTCATAAGTCTTGCCCTCAAGACCTCCCACCACCTTGGTCGTTCTCCACTGCACACACTCGAATACTTTGATGTCCTTATATTGAGGCACCCAAAACTGCACACAGTACTGGAGGTGGGGGCTGCACCAGTGCAGTGTGGAGTGGGACAATCACCTCCCTTGACCAGCTGGCTGTGCTGTCCTTGATGCACCCCAGGACATGGTTGTTCCTTTTGACTAAGAGATCTAAGAGATCAAGAAGATGGACTTAACAGCTTTCTTCATGGTTTTCTATGACAAACTGCCTCCTCTGAATCCCATACTGAGCCTCTGTTTTACTCATTAACTATAGTCAGTGCAGATCCACAGCTGATCACTGAGATGGCTACTTCTAATTGCGGATTTAGCCTCAAATACTTATCTTGTTTTCTTGTTTAAATGATGTGTCCAACTGATTCAATACAACACAACAAGTAAGAAAGGACGTTTCAGCACAGGTCAGGTAAATCTCTTCTTAATGATTGTGAAAATAAAATTATATAATTGAGCATTTAGACTATCACAGAACATGTGTTCTATACATATTCTTCATGAAACAATGTAAAGTAATAAAATACAAAAGAATTCTCAACATAATTTTTTTCTGTGATATTTTTAGAGAGATGCTATTTTAAATATTTTAAAAGAAAATAATTATATCCTTCTGGTTGATTTTGCCACAATTATAAATAAATAATAAAAAATAAAATCAATTATTTACTCTACGTAGTTAGGTAGATCTGAATTATAACTGAAGAATATTATGCTGTACATTGGTAAAGACTATTGAACTGGGAAATATTCAAAAAGAGAAAAAAACATTATGAAAGAACTGTGGGAAATATAGCTGTAGTAAATTAAATATGGAACTCTACGTTCCTCTCAATATTGTCATGCATGAGAAGTCTTCTGCTATCATTTGCTGCTACCATAACCAAAACTCAAACTGCTTAAATGAATTAGACTATTAGATATAATTATAAAACACATATATTAAATGCAGTTTAGTACACTAACTGTGATAAAATGTTTTAGCATAATTTAGAAAGTTTTTACAGTTTTAAAATGCTATCTCATAGTTGAAGTTCTGAAATTAAAAAATCATTGTAGTCTAAAATGAATTTTTTTATAAAATTTGGAATACTGAATATTTTACAGTTTTTAATCCTTGTTTCATCACACCTTCTAATATTACATGTTTTGAATTACTTACACTATTTTTCATCAGATTGGTTCTCCAGTATTAATGGAACCGACAATGAAATACGATAATCTTATTATCATAGGTACATGTGAGTGTTTTGCAGACAGTCCTGTGATAGTTTTGCCTCAGCTCCAAGCTCTATGGACAGAGATGGACATAGGCAAGTGCTGCTCAGAAGGCCGTGTAGCTTTATTAATGCTACACTGTCCACTCAGCAGGACTCGCTGTATTAGCTCAAGCATTGTGCCTTCAACTGGAGAGGGTTGCTGGCCAGCTCAATGGAGACCCAGGTAAACTGAACACAAGTCTCTGGAGAAGGTTGTACAGGCATGCCCAGTGTTACAAACATGCAAGCTTTGCTGCAGATTTTATAAGGATATTTTAAAATTCTAGTTGGGTGCCTACTACAGGAAGGCAGCCACCACTTCAGCACAACTATTATTCAAGCAACAGAGTATATATTAGAATCCTGGATCTGTACATATCCTTGCAGAGACTACTTAAATTCAGTTAGCAATTACAAGGAGTGTCAAATGTGACATAAATACTTAAGTCATTTTTAAAATGAAACATTAAAATGAATAATATTTGGAGAGGGAAAAAAGAAAAAACACATGATCTTTTCAAAAGGAAAATTCAAATCACTTTATAAAAAGCATGCCATCACCATCTCTAGAAAGCACTTTTTACTTGCCTGTAAATTGTACGTTTCCAATACAACTTAATGAAAACCCTGTCAGCATCATCCAATTGAAAAAATAATTCTTCCAAGGGGCAGTTTGGTAGGAGGGATCTCAGCCTTGGACTGCCAGCTCAGTTTTCATTTTTTCCTTTATGTGGCTAAATTCCATACAAGACTGACCATCAAGCGATTTAAATAGAGTACGTTAATGAATCAGCTTAACTAACATTTAAGCACTTTATGCTGATTTTTACATTTCCAACCTATATGGCAAATCTGCAATGATTTCCTGTGAAAAACACCTTTTTCCTTGCCCTCTACAGAATTAAGTTTGAATGTGCCTTACAAAGAATGAGTTGGGTTTCAAAACAAATAATAACAATGCAGGACCCTTGTAATGTTGTGTATTTCTTAAACTACAGCTATCTGGCAAAATAAAAGCTAGAATCTGTAAACAGTATAATCACAAAAACCCTTTTGGTGTAACAATCAAAACCAGAAAGGAAAATGTTTTAAGACAACAATACTTCTGAAGCACTGAATTCTAGATATTCTCTCTATACACAGTTTGTATCTAAACCTATATTTAACTACCACAGAGCTCTATAGTGTATTAGAACATTGATACTGTTATTATTATGATACTGTATACTGGAAATTTCCAAGATAGACAGAATACATCATTTAAACTTCTCTTTCACAGTAAAACTCATGCCTCAGTAGTCTACTCTAGCAGACTACTCCAACCTATATGGCAAATTTGCAGTGTTTTTCTGTGAAAAAACACCTTTTCTCTCACCCTCCACAGAATTAAGTTTGAGTGTTCCTTACAAAGAATGAGTTGGGTTTCAAAAAAAAATAATAACAATCCTTGTAATGTTGTATGTTTCTTAAACTAAAGCTACCTGGCAAAATAAAAGCTAGAATCTGTAAGCAGCATAATCACAGAAACGCTTTTGGAGTAACAAAAGTAGGCTACTAGAATATTCATTGTTTTGAGATTATCAGAGTTGTTGTCCACTAAAGCCAAGCACAGATAAAGAGATAGGCAGGTAACCGGGAAGACAATCCTTGTAATGTTGTATGTTTCTTAAACTAAAGCTACCTGGCAAAATAAAAGCTAGAATCTGTAAGCAGCATAATCACAGAAACGCTTTTGGAGTAACAAAAGTAGGCTACTAGAATATTCATTGTTTTGAGATTATCAGAGTTGTTGTCCACTAAAGCCAAGCACAGATAAAGAGATAGGCAGGTAACCGGGAAGGTAGGCAGGTAGTTTTTTACCTTGAACAACGAAATTGACAGCCTGCCTCTCCGCTTGAGTGCGTAGTTTGTAATCCTGTGCATTGATATTAGCCAGTGGTCTTTTACGTCCCATTATGGAAACCACGTAACCTTGTAGGATTGAAATAGAAATTAGTATTCTTACAGTGGTGAAAATTAAATTTCAAAAATTCTTTTTGAAGATAATAGAGATTTTTGTAATTATGTGCTGCCTGAGTCAATCTAATATTTTGCCCTCTGAAAATAACCAGAGCTTCTCTTATTTAAACCTTAAACACCTATTGTATTTTTGGCCTAAAAATTATTCCATTCAGAGAATTTGTACATGTTATACAAGGAAAACTTCTGTTCATTAAAGCTGTATTTTCATTAGGAATGTCTACTAATATACCAGCAAACTTTCTCTCTGGGAGATGAAACTATAAATACCTAGCAGAATTAGCTATCTATTAGCAGCCATAATTAAAGCTTTTCATGCAATGAATAGTTTACTTGGGAATAGCAAAGAAAAATCAATTTGTAGGGTAATTAAAGCATTTATTAATATTTTCCAAAATTATCAAATAGTTTTGGGGAAAAACCCCAAAGTTGTAACTTTTTTTCAATTTACTTTATATGGTATTTTCATGTTCCTTTTACAGTCAAACTTCCTTAACTCTAGTGTGGTGGGTTTTTTTAGTTTGAAAGAAATACTTGAAAACACAGTTAAAGCCTTATGTTAGGCCTAATGACATATTTTGCCAAACTATTTTGGAGGGCAAGTGAGAGTTGTTGAGAAAGGAAAAGAGATATGAGGAACCTCTTGTCAAAATAACACACACAAAACCTTATTTGAGCTTATCTTCAAAACTAAACTTTTCTTATTTTAAGAAAAATGAAAAATCATCCATGTTAAAAATATGTCTGTATGAAATCTGTCGTTATACTTCTGACCACCTTGGCTATCCATGAATTTTCATAAGATACCATGAAGGTTCAGACTGCCACGGAGTTTCATCTCCTCTTTGGCAACCAAGATATGCTAGCACATGCGGTAAAGAGACTTCTTCAAATACAAAGTTATGACCTTACTATGGACAACACATACCCAGACTTATGTGCAGAGGATGAAGATTGTTCTGATGAATTAATACAGCTTTCTGTGAATCAGTATATTTCCAGGAGTGCTGATACAAGAAGTACCAGTATTGGAACAAGGAGCTGAATTATCTGGAGGTTAGGATATTCTTTGGCAAATCAGTCTTTCCAATTTAACTAAGATTTTCCATGAAGAACAGTATCTCAAGATGGAATTCTTGAAACATTTGATTCTCAGGGGAAAACAGATTTACGGTAATATCCTTATTCCTATGTGGTGTGTCTCCACAACAGAATCACCCTTACAATACTCATAGCTGGTTAGCATCCCCAAACAAATACCATCTTGTAGATAATAGTGGTAGAATATGCTTCTGTGGTCAAAGATTAATCTGCAAATACATATTTGAATGAGGTCTTAATGTAGTCTTTTTAATATGTTGATAATTCCATCAAAACCCAACAACAATATAATGACATATATACTAACACACTAACAAAAATATCTTCATCATACATTAATATTATTTATATGATTTCATGTCTACACGGAGTATCAGATATACGTAACACTTAAATAATATTAGTCAGGTAGGTGCCGTTCACCTTTGAACTGCAGATAAGTAAGGAAAAGTTATCTGACAATTAGCTCACTAAGTTGGAATGCTTTTGTTGTTGAATTAGCAAGAAAAATATTAAATAATGTTGATCTACTGCAGATTTTTTAAGCTTGTACAACCAAATCAGATTGTCCTTCTACCACTAATGGTTAAAAAAATGGTTGATAGCTGGGAGTGAGAGGAGGAGTAAGTACTAATTAGACAAGTAAGAAAAGAATGCTAAGTTATTTTAAATAGATTAAAAATATATAAAATGTGTAATATTTTACTAGATATGTTATGTTGGGCATTATTATAGCTAAAATAGATTCTCGGTAACTTCACTTTTTTTTAGTAATATTAATGAAAAAAGGAATGCAACTGTGTGACACAATGATGATTCATGCTTCCAGTAGATTTTTAAGCCCTACAAAGTACAAAAAAGGAATACTATCCATTTTCATGACTGGAAGTCAGTTATATGTTTCTATCATGACACTCACCCATACAATGATGGGTAGTATTATATTGCAAACTTACTATTTAGTTCTACAAAATGGCTTAGTACTGTATACCCTATTAAGAAACAAAATAAATCAATTTTGACAGTTCTGCTAATTAGCTTTTAAAAGACAATATTTCAAGCAGCTATATTTTCTCTCCTCAAATTGCTGCACTCCTAGGATTCACTAAATATACATTAATATGTAGACTAAAACCAAATTTGATGCAAGAAGAGTTTGCAGCTGCTGACTCCAAGAAGTACTCTGCAAACATCTGTCATCACAGACACCACCTGAACTTCAAGAACATAAATTCTGTCTCATGCAAATTAAAAAATACATTAAAAAGAATTGGCTCTGTAAATTGGTTCTTTGGCTAAATGGCTGAACTTCCATGGTCTGGCAGCCATGTAGCATATTTATTAAGTAAAAGATTCCTTGGGCTTTTTGTGTTGGAGCACATTATATGTCAAAATGATGCAGTCTAACTTGACATTAAGTAGGGTTCACTCTGAGAACAGATGTCTTATTCTGTTAGCATCTTTCTGAGAGAAGGCAGACAGGTTCAACCAGCTCCTCTTAGGGTTAAAAAAGAAAAAAAAACTGACTAGACAAGAAATTATATTCCATCTTTTTTGTTGTCCTATAACTATCTGAATTTGGGTCGAGCTGAATCTTTGTCTTCACCACTGTCACACAGTGCTGACTAGTAAACAAAAATATGCTTATAGACTTTGAATTACCTTTATTTCGGCATTGTTCAATGGTTTTCTTTGTAAATTCATGTACTTTCTTGTATTTTTGCATAAAACTCTCTATAAATTGACTGGCTTGAAGAGGAGTAATTCTGAGGCAGTCAGCAAGACGTTCTTTACCTGGTAGTAAAGAAATTATCTTTATTTTGCAATAAAGCAGAAGAGAAATCCACTACATACAATAGCACTGTTGTATTCACAATTAGTGGAATTAGTTACCTTTACTTACCTCTATGAAAGAGGACGAATTTGATATACTGCAATCATATTTCAACAAAGCAAATGTTTAACTTTGAGCTTGAATGTTTTACTGAAGTTACTGGATTAAGAACATACTTACTAAGAGATATAGAAGAAGTATGTAATTAAGAAATCCCTAGTTATAATTTATACCTATAAAGTGGTTGAAATCTCTTTTGTTCACAGAATAGCTTTAAGTGTAATTTTACTAGTTCAGTGTTGAAATCTGCAAACTTTGAGGAGCATATAAGGAATTTGAAATCAATTTTAAACAAACACAAATGGGAATTAAGGTCTAAAAAAGGATGGAGATGTGGCTGGTTGAGTTTAGCTCAAAGCTTTATATTTGGTGTAGAAGTCACGGCAAAATTTAACTGCTGAAGCAATCAGACCAAGTAGCCTGATTTTAGAAAGGCTGTTAAGAGTCTGAGTCCCACAGATTTCAAACAATCTTAGGCTCCTCAATGTCTGTAAAAATCTGGGTCCAAGTTGCGAAATAAAACAGTTGGAAAAAGAAAAAGCAGAAAACCGTTTCAATAGAGAGAGAAAGGAATAATAGCTTTTGGATAGGATATAGGTGCACAATATATATTACCTTGGATCTAAGACCATTTATAAGATAAGGTGGAAAAAAGCTGAAGACAGTTTTCCAGAGTGTGAAAATATAAACTAAAAGAGCTACAGTTTAAACACATTTATAAACCAAACAGTTCCAGTAAAAATAAAACATACATCAACTTTAGTCATATGAGGTTTGAAAGACAGATATATTTGTCAGCTGCACAGCAACACAAAACCAGCACTGTGTCTGCAAATAACATAAGCTGAGAAGTGATGTCTCAAGGCACCAAAGGCATAGAATAGTTATTGTCACAGTAATACTGTCAAGAAAAATTATCTAGCATTTTTGAAAGAGAGAAGATTTCAGCCACCTAAATGCCATCACTGTCAGTCTGATGTGCATTTCAGAACAATTCTGTAGCATTTTATTCTCAGACATGCCAGGATCTGCACTGAGCTGCAGGAACACCAATCTGGACAAGGTGCTAGAAGAAGAAATTCACAAGACATCCAGGAGGACTCTTGCTGAGCTATTATATGTCTGTACATTTATTTGACATCTAATTAATTTAGGTTTTCTTCCTGGGTCAGCAAATGACAAATCTATCTGCTAAAGCACACACTGTTAACAGCTAGGAGACTGCTGTGGCTTCCTTAGAGAACTTTAACATCTAAGTTTGTCCATGTTATCCATTTAAAGAACTATTGATATACAGAACAAAGTATTGCATAAAATAGTAGGAAAATTAAGCCACACTATCAGTAAGGAAGTCTGAAAGGTTCCAGCAAAATGCAGTTCCTGGGAAGCAAAAAGAGGGGAATGTACACCCACGTAATTGCATCAGATCATGTTCCACACTACAGGAGCACAGGCTATGTGAAGCAATGCTCAGGAAGACTAAAGCTTCCCCGAGCACTCTCCTTGAGTTATCTGTGCCAGGGGAATTGTTAGCAGCAGCCTATAAGTTTTAGCGTTCTCCATTCTGTAATGTCATCTTTCAAAACTGAAAACATCATTAGTTTCTCTGCTTTTCATTTAAACACCTTGGGATCCCTCTGTCAATCCAGGGCTTGAGCATACTGCCATTGAATGGAATGAATTCCTTATTTTACAGATCATAGAACAGAACCATAGAATCATTACGGTTGGAAGAGACCTCAAAGATCATCAAGTCCAACCGTATACCCAATGCCACCATGCCCGCTAAACCCACTAAACCGTGTCTCGAAGCGCCACATCTAAACGTTTTTTGAACACCTCCGGGGTGGTGAGTGCACCACCTCCCTGGGGAGCCCGTCCCAATGCCTAACGACTCTTACAGTGAAGAAGTTCTTCCTAATATCCAACCTGAACCTCCCCTGGTGCAACTTGAGACATTTCCTATTGTCCTGTCGCTAGTTAGCGGGGAGAAGAGATCAACCCCCACCTCACTACAACCTCCTTTCAGGTCGTTGTAGAGGGTGATAAGGTCTCCCCTCAGCCTCCTCTTCTCCAGGCTAAACAACCCCAGCTCCCTCAGCCACTCCTCATAAGACTTGTTCTCCAGGCCCTTCACTAGCTTTGTCGCTCTTCTCTGGACACGCTCCAGCACCACAATGTCCTTCTTATAGTGAGGGGCCCAAAACTGAACACAGTATTCAAGGTGCAGCCTCACCAGCGCAGAGTACAAAGGGATTATCACTTCCCTAGTCCTGCTGGCCACACTGTTTCTGATACAGGCCAGGATGCTGTTGGCCTTCTTGGCCACCTGGGCACACTGCTGGCTCACGTTCAGCCCGCTGTCGACCAACACCCCCAGGTCTTTTTCCACCGGGCAGCTTTCCAGCCACTCATCCCCAAGCCTGCAGCACTGCATGGGGTTGTTGTGACCGAAGTGCAGGACCTGGCACTTGGTCTTGTTGAATCTCATACAGTTGGCCTCAGCCCATTGATCCAGCCTGTCCAGATCCCTCTGTAGTGCCTTCCTACCCTCCAGCAGATCAACACTCCCACCCAGCTTGGTGTCGTCTGCAAACTTACTGAGGGTGCACTCGATGTTTAAGTTCTCTGTGCTTTAGTTTTACAAGATGACTGAGGCAGAAGCAGGTGAATTGAATTGCTCCAAACCAAGCAAAAGACAGTAATACTGTCATCCGTCTCAGTATTTGGTGTATTTATTAAAGTACCAACTCCTAGACATAACGAGACTCGTCTTATTATACTACTTTTTATCCTCCACGATCATCAGTTATTAATGATAACTTTTCGACACAGGTGGTGGGGGAGCCAACAAGAAAGCCAACAAGGAGAGGTGTGCTGCTGGACACTGACTAACAATCAAAGAAATACTGGTTGGAGATGTGAAGGTTGGGGGCAGCCTTGGCTACAGTGACCATGAGGTGGTGGAGTTCAGGATCCCGTGTGGAGCAAGCAGGGCAATAAGTGGGATTACTTCCCTGGCCTTCAGGAGAGCTAACTTTGGCCTCTTCAGGGACCTGCTTGGAGGGGTCCCATGGGTTAGGGCCCTGGAAGGTAGGGTGCCCCAAGAGAGCTGGTTAATATTCAAGCACCACTTCCTCCAAGCTCGAGATCAGTACATCCCTATGAGCAAGAAATCAAGCAAAGGGGGCAGGAGACCTGCATGGATGAGCAAGGAGCTTCTGGCAGAATTCAAATGGAAGAAAGAAGTTTATGGAATGTGGAAAGGGACAGGCCATTTGGGAGGAATATAGGAATGTTGTCAGAGTATGCAGCGATGTGACAAGGAAGGCTGAGGTCCATTTGGAATTAAGTCTGGCAAGGGACATCAAAGACAACAAGAAGGGCTTCTACAAGTACATCAGTAGCAAAAGGAAGACTAGGGAAAACGTAGGCCCACTGTTGAAGGAGGTGGATACCCTGGTGATGGAAGATACAGAAAAGGTGGTTAATGAACACCTTTGCTTCAGTCTTTATGGCTAAGGCAGGCCCTTATTAATCCCAGACCCTGGAAATAAGAGAAGAAGCCTGGATAAAGGAAGACTTTCCCTTAGATGAGGAGGATCAGGTTAGAGGTCATTCAAGCAAATTGAACACCCACAAATCCATGGGCCCCAATGGGATGGACCCACGCGTGCTGAGGGAGCTGGCAGATGTCATTGCTGAGCCACTCTCCATCATATTTGAAAGGTCGTGGAGAACAGGAGAGGTGCCTAAGGACTGCAGGAAAGCCCATGTCGCTCCTATCTTCAAAAAGGGCAAGAAGGAGGACCCAGGGAACTAGCTGGGTAGATGAAGGGAGAGAAGTGGATATTGTCTACCTTGGCTTCAGCAAGGCTTTTGACACTGTCTCCCATAACAGCCTCATAGGTAAGGTCAGGAAGTGTGGGTTAGATGAGCGGACAGTGAGCAGGATTGAGAACCGGCTGAATGGCAGAACTCAAGAGTCGTGATCAGCTGCAGAGAGTCTAGTTGGAGGCCCATAGCTAGCGATGTTCCCCAGGGGTCAGTTCTGGGTCCAGTCCTGTTTAATTTATTCATCAACGACCTGGATAAAGGGATAGAGTGTACCCTCAGCAAGTTCGCTGATAATATGAAACTGGGAGGAGTGGCTGATACACCAGAAGGCTGTGCTGCCATTCAGGGAGACCTGGACAGGCCAGAGAGTTGGGTGGGGAGCAACCTGATGAAGGTCAACAAGGGCAAGTGTGGAGTCCTGCACTTAGGGAGGAATAACCCCACGCACCAGTACAGGCTGGGGGTTGACCTGCTGCAGAGCAGCCCGATGAAGGACCTGGGAGTCCTGGGGGACAACAAGTTGACCATGAGCCAGCAATGTGCCCTTGTGGCCAAGAAGGCCAATGGCATCTTGGGGTGCATGAGGAAGAGTGTGGCCAGCAGGTCGAGGGAGGTTATCCTCCCCCTCTACTCTGCCCTGGTGAAGCCACATCTCAAGTACTGGGTCTAGTTCTGGGCTCCTCAGTTCAAGAAAGACAAAGAACTACTGGAGAGAATCCAGTGGAAGGCAATGAAGATGATGAGGGGACTGGAGCATCTCTCTTATGAGGAAAGGCTGAGAGAATTGCATCTGCTCAGCATGGAGAAGAGAAGACTGAGAGGAGAGTTCATCAATGCTTACAAATAACTTAAGGGTGGATGTCAAAAGGATGGGGCCAGAGTCTTTTCAGCAGTGGCCAGTGAGAGGTTAAGGGGCAACGGACACAAACTGAAACTCAGGAAGTTCCATCTGAATATGAGGAAGAACTTGTACACATTGAGGGTGGCAGAGCACTGGAACAGGCTGCCCAGAGATCTTGTGGAGTTTCATTCTGTGGAGATATTCAAAACCCGCCTGGATGCAATCCTGTGCAAATTGCTGTAGGTGAACCTGCTTTGGCAGGGGGGTTGGACTAGATCATCTCCAGAGGCTCCTTCCAACCCTGACCATTCTGTGATCCTGTGATTATAGAAAAGACTTGGAAAATATGAACCAAGTGTAACCTAAAGCTAAGAAAACAAAAAGAAAAAAAAAGATTACTATTTACTACATAAAAGATTTTCATTAACTCCTGTAAGCATAATACAGGCAAGCTCCTCAGGGAATGCTTCTGTATTTTTCAATCCCAAAAGAAGTGAAAGAAGTAAGTATTATTCACACTCTTCAGTTGTATCAAAATGTCTCCTTAATGAAAAATTAGCCATCTTTTGAAGGGAGACAAACTGTGGGTGGAATTCAGTCCAACAATTTCAGATATCTAACAATTATTTTTTGTCAGCCCAGTTTCCATCTAAATAGTTTAATGATATCATTCCATGTTATGTCTTAATTAGGATCTGATCACACTGCTAATGAACTGAAGCATCTTATTATCTTTCAGGTGCTTCAGCTGCCCTCATTTGAGAGAGATGGAGACACAAACAAGTAAATGGAGATACTTAAATCAAGCATTGCTGCACTGAAATGTTTAGTGCCTGGTACGGAGCAAGCAAGGGAGTGCCAATACTCTGCTTAATCTAATCATCCAAGTTCTCTACAGCATGAATAGACAGACATAGGCTCTATTGGGAGGCTCTAGCCCCAGTAACTGATGCATTTCCTTTACTCCACTGGTTATATACAGAACTACAGGGCATTCAGCCTGTGGTGATTCAGTCTGATTAAGTCAGGTATCTGCCTGTCCCACCCAGAGCGAAGTGGAGAGGTAGCAAATGTGTAGCATCTGCATGGACCAAGGGGCAGGGGTGCTAATGCTTACCTTCTGTAAAATAATCTAGTGATGAAAACATTCAGGCTGGAAATAGGATATTTGATTCCACTCTCAGCATGGGATGGTCTGAATTTACACTGCAGGGAGCTAGTGCTGGGCTTTTTAAATATAGATTTTAAACACAGATGTTTGAAAAGCAATACAGCTTAATGTAAAAATGCACGTGTGTATATATGTATTCTTATACATATTTATATAATCTACACACACCCTTATACATAAAATAGATATTCTGGAGAGCTGAAATTGAAGTGTTTTTCTCCCCTTTCCAATTGAATGCCCTAAACAATAAATTGAATGCCCTTGGCTAACTCTGCCTTTGGTTCAAGGACTATTGTTGACTCACTGCAAAAAATGATTAAGAAAGCATTCTCACCCAGGAACCCAAGATGTAGTTTTAAGTGCTTCCAAGTTAAATAAAGCCTGCAGCCTAGGGCATGCATTTCCTAAATGAGTTTTCCAAGCACTCATCTTCTGTAGAGCTTTTGGAATTCTGCAGAAGACCTACATAAAACTTAGTTAGCTGTTTACTACAACAAATTCACAAGGGCTTGTAGGCTGATTATACATATGCATCTGTTTTCCCAGAAAAGGTAATTCTAAGCATCTATGAAGCATAAGGAGAGTTGATTCATTTAAGAAATGGTAGGCAGTTTGGAAAGTATGCAGAATGTCTTGATTTATCTAGGACCTGGGAAGGACTTGGGCAGAATGGATAACAGTGTGGATTTTTGCAGGTTTTCTGCAGTTGTGAAGAAATGGCAGCAAACATTAAGATCTACAGAAACACTTTTATACTGTAAGTGTGACTGAGCACTGGCACAGCTTGCTGAGGGAGGTTGTGGAGTCTCCATCCTTGAAGATATTCAAAAGCCGTATGGACACGGTCCTGGGCAACAGGGTCTAGATGTCCCTGCTTGAGCAGAGGGGCTGGATGTGATGACCTCCAGTTGTCCCTTCCAACCTCAGCCATTCTGTGATTCTATAAATGTGTTTTGGAACAATATTGGAGTTCTTTTAATTTCATTATAGTTATTCTCATCTCTGTCTATATACTGACAGAATGCAAAGTCAACTCAAAATTAAACTCATTTTAGATAAAGACAAATGTTTCAGTTTCAGTTACATCAGCAGCAAACAAATACAAAATGAGAGTAATCCTTGTATAAGGCAATGTGGCTGTATTAATTCAATAATTTTGATACTGGGAAGATCATTTAATAATCCTTGATAAAAATAAAAATGTAATACTCTGACAAACTTTTATTCACCTCTAGAAATTCAGTCTACTTATATAAATTATATAAATTACCTACTATAGTTGTTTTTTTTTTCTAAAAATGCCTACCTGCTCCATAAACCACTGAGTAAACTATACGCTTTGCTTGCTCTCTATCAGCATGTTTCACTTGTTCACTTGGAATCCCCTTCCTAAACAAACAAACAAAAATCATACATTTTCAGTTAAAACTAATTGAAGTTTTTATCCCCACAGAAAATGTATGTAAAGTCAATAACCTTTTAATAACTGCAGACTTGTAAGGTATAAATGGAAGCACTTAAGGGCTTTTGTCTTCGGTCAGGAATGCATAACTTCTTTACAAATTTGGTGGAGATAAACCATAGTAAATGAAACTCTCTATTTTAATCCTCATCTTCATCTTTCCTTTTCTTTTTAATCAAATTCTCAGGTAGGAAAAGTCCTACTACTGTATTATTAGTTCTTCAGGTTGAAGAGGATTCAGTATTGACCCATGAGAAAAACTAAATCTTTCCAGCAACAGCGTTTCTTGAAGACGTGATGTATATAGAGACTCAAAGCATAAGTCTGAAAGCTTATTTAAACAAAGTTTATATCAGGGCTTCAATAATAGGAACATGCAACCTTTTATCAAGAATAATGACGGATAAAAGCATGCACTGAATCTCCCCCTATGTCTTACAGAGCTCCACAATATAGATGCTTCATAAAACAGCAGCACTGGCTGTTTTTTAACTAGCGAGTGCAGCTAGTTTACTCCCAGCAAAGTATCATCCTTCCCAGTTCCCATTCATTCAACAACTGATGTAAACAGTCCACGAAAAGGCTAATGGATTTAGCAATTTCCAAATAAAAAGCTAGGACTCTGCAATTGTCAAGTATGTCCCACCTATGCTTTTCCTTATCCAAACGTAGCCCCAGAAAGTATGCTGACATTATTGACAATTGAAAACACTGAAGATTATTGATCATTTGGTTTAAATGGAAGTGCATTGGGGAAAATCTCAATCATCCACTCACACTCTGAAAACAAATACCTATACAAATTGTATTTGGAACATAGAGATGAATTGCTGTCAGAGACACTTGATGACATATGCATGATTTGTGAATAAGTCTCCACATGAGTCTATTCATGATGATTTGGTTGTATTTTTAAAAGCAAAGTTTGCTATGTTTTGTTATGAAAGTTTTTTGCCATGAAGGATGCTTTGTCATGAAAGTTTTGGTTGATGAGCTTTGAGAAAATGGCATATTTCTGTGTATCTTCTTGAAGAAGGGTCTTTCACCACTATTATGGTACTCAAACACCTAGAAAAATCAGCAGAGCCACAAATTTTTGCTTGCTTGGCCCATACACTGATTTTAGCCAAGTCCATGCCCAGTGCTGGTATAATTAGGCACTCTGAATGACAAACAGGTAGACCTTGAGTGCAATCAGATTTAAGCAAGTTCTTATAGCAGTACAGATTTTTTGAAGAGGAAAAATAAAATTGAATATGATTTTGAACTTCCACTGAGCAAACAGTTTTGCAGATGCTCACATTGTTCCTTTGAATGCTACCAGTTGTTCAAAGATCAAATGGACTTTTCACTGCTCATTTTAGGCTGAGAAACATGAAGAACCTGATAATTTCATACACAGTGTTTTCCATCCGTAACAAAGACTATTCCCACTTAAGTCAATCATTCTGGTAGTTGGAGACTCTTATAATTTCCCTTCTTAATTATGCCAGGTCAAAAGTTCATTACTCTTTTGAATAAAGTAGCTTGAAATTCCCAAATGTACCTGAATAAGAGGACAAAGTGGCATTTGGATCTAATAAGTGCAGAATTATGAAACTAGACATCATTAAGGATTTCCTGAAGCAATCTCTGGCAGAAAGTCCACAGGAATTTCCTGAAGAACCTGGCCGAAAGCTACATATACACTTGAGAAAGCATCTATCCAGCATCAAGAGGGAAAACAGAATCTGGTAAGAGAGTAGATCTTACCTGAGGATCTTTCTGAGTTGAAGAACCAAGGCTGAAGAACACTTAAACTAGGGAAGCAATACAAAATGCAATACTGCTTTCCTAACACTGCATAATTCAAACTGCCTGGAGAAGGCAAGAGATAGGAGTACAGAAATAGAACTTGCAGATTTACTTAAGTCTGAGGCTAGAGACAACCAAGAGCCAAGGGGTCAGCAGGATGCAACTATGTTGGCTGCTCACATCTTTGAAAAAGAAGGGCTATAACAGAAAGAACACTGTGGGTAAGAAGTCATGGAGATCTGAAGAGGAACATACATACTTATAGGATTATAGTACTGAGGAAGACAGAAGACGAGAGCCTTGCTGGGAGGGACTGATGGTTCTAGAGAAGCCTTAACAGTGAAAGAAGACACTAGAACTTGAATATATTTGGTCTCTTCTCCCCGGTAACTAGTGATAGGACAAGAGGAATCGGTCTCAAGTTGCGCCAGGGGAGGTTCAGGCTCGACATTAGAAAGAACTTCTTCACTGTTAGAGTCATTAGGCATTGGAATGGGCTCCCCAGGGAGGTGGTGGAGTCACCATCCCTGGAGGTGTTCAAAAACGTTTAGATGTGGCGCTTCAAGACATGGTTTAGTGGGCATGGTGGCATTGGGTATACGGTTGGACTTGATGATCTTTGAGGTCTCTTCCAACCATAATGATTCTATGATTCTATATGAACAGCAAGTCCCACCACTAGGATTTTAAGGATGATTTTGCATTATTCAAGCTTCAACTTGAAAGGGCTAACTGGGAAAAACAGATAGACTTATTGCTGGAATCATGATAGGCAGTGTCAGGAGGAGGATCCTGTGTTTCCATTGTAAGCAATCACAATAACACCTTGCCTAACACAATTATTGGTGCAGATGTATGTGCATCATGTGATCATGGCAATCACAACAGTCACTTAGCATTTCCTGATCTTTGTTTAGTTGTGAAACACGTGAGAAGCAATTAAAATTTCAGAGCTTTATGTCAAATATTTAAATATTTCTTTTAATATAATGCCAAAACCAAAATGGTCAGTCAACACCTCCTAGTGTGTTAGAATGGGAAAGGTGAGCGCTTGGCAGAGAGGCATTCCATCTAGCACTCTGTATATTTGTAAATTTATGTACCACATTGAAGAATCTGGAATAATAAAGTATGAAATTGCCATATAAATCACAAGTGCTCGAGCAAACAGAAGTCATTAATCAAAACTATTTCTTTTTTTTCTAATAATGAAAACATTTTTTTTCTGTTTGTATTGACAATGATTGGTTTCTACTTAGAATGCTTGATTCCTTCTGTAATATAGAATGGCA